GTCATTTTAGTCTTGTGTGGTGCTGTGTGTACAAAAGTGTTGCCTTAGGTTACGGGGCATTTTGAAAGCCCTGTAATTGGGGTTTTTTTCTTTTTTGGCGCGCTCCAAAGAGCTTCGCCTCTCCTTCGGCGTCTCGGGCGCCGGGAGAGTCGTACTTGTATCCATCACCTCTTGTGAGGTGGTGGATGGTGTCTGCTCGGCAGGCACATTCACAGAACATTCGGACCTAACTGCGTTTGCAGTGGTCCGAGGTCCAGCAGACTGGGGAGTCTGCTGGCTCCGTTTGTTAGGTGGCGGAGCAGTACTGGCTGCTCCAGCCGGGGGCGCTTGTGGCGCACCCACAGTCTCACTCTGTGTGACTTTTGCGGGCACGAAAAGATGCGGCCGGGCACCCCGGCGCATCACATGGACGAAGAAGGGACTGGACTGATAGATGGAAAACCATTTACGTGCTTCTTCAAAGGACAGATTGAACTTCACTTTAATCTCAAGGATTTGTTTTTATTTTTTCCAGATTGGACACGATTTCGAGTAGGCAGCATGGCCTCCTTCACAGTTTGCACAACATGATGTGTTTGAATTACACGTATCTGATGCGTGCTCATTAGATGCATATTTTGCACAGTATTGCGCCCTCTGCAACTTTGTGACTATGTCCAAAGCGCTGGCACTTGAAACATCTGCGAGGGTTTGGCACATAGGGCCTGACACGGAGCTTGCAGTAGCCAGTTTCAATAGAATCAGGTAAGTCACTGGTACCAAAGGTGATGATTATGTGTTTCGTGGGTGTTTCCTTTTTGTCTCATCGTATAATTATTCTTTGGACCTTGACTACATTCTGGTTTTGCCAGCCTTCTAATAATTCACCTACGGACAGTCCAAGCAGGTCGTCATCAGAGACCACGCCGCGCACTGTTTTCATTGACCTGTGTGGGCCCACTAAGACTGGGACATCCCAAAACACTACCAGTTTAAGTAAATTGTCGTATTGGAGCTTGTCGCGAACCTCCAAAAGGAGGTCGCCGCTTCCCAACTTCGTTACACGATATCCTGGGCCGATTGAGTGTTTTCGAGACAAGAAAAAGTGAAATTGCTCGGACTGTTTTGTTCTCTTTTTGGCTATGGACGACATGAAACTTGGGAAAGGACTGCTTCGGTTTGGAAAAAAGAAACGGTTCTTCGGTGAACCACCTTTTGGGGTTGCGATCAGGGAGAGGGGGGGAAAAGTTGGCCATACAGATTGTGTACAGTTCGGCGGCGATGGTGGCCACCCACCACTGAGACCAACAAGGGGACGCCACAAGGTTGAATAGAGTTCGGCGGCGATGGTGGCCACCCACCACTGAGCTCAACAAGGGGACACTACAAGGTTGATTAGTGAACACTTGGAGACGCCAGCCATGCATCGCCGCTATAACCGAATATAACTACCCAAGGTTGGGCAACTACACAGGGTTAACCCTCGCCGCCAGAAAATTTGGAAGTAAACTGAAAAGAGAAGATGACAGGACAGATAAAAAGTGAGAGATAAAGACGAAGATGTAGGTAGAGAGAGATAGGAAAAGGCGATTGCCAATTTCCCCTGGGAGGGTCAGCCCAGGGGTGCCGTCTACGTGAAGCCGGGGCCAAAGAGGTGTGTTGCCTCTGCCGGGGGGCCTTAAAGGTCCAATCACCCGTCGTCAGCTCAACCCCCAGGATCCCCTTTTCCCCGGACACGGTTCAGCCACGCACGGCTAGGCGTGGGAGGGAGTCGAACCCCCCCCTCCCGTTAGCTCGGATCAGTGATGTCGCTACGCACCAAACGCCTGCTTGCGCAGACGCCCCTGCGCGGAAGTGGGTGTGTGCCACCACTTAAAAATATAGTCCACAAATGTGTCTACCTTTTGCACGCGAAAAGCATAAAAAACATTATTTTCTATGGCATAAAGCGATGCTGAACGAACCAAGAAAATATTTGCTTCGCCTTATGAAGTGTAACTTTACGTTTTGCACGATTGAAAACAGTACATGTTTTGGGTGCGCCTCGTAGGCAAAATAGCATCTTCGCCTTTAGGTGAGCGTGCATCGCCCTCCAGCTATTCCGACAACTCACCGAAGGAGCTTGTGTCGAACTTCACTCACAAATGACTGTGTAAGCAGATGTAGCAAGTTCTATGCTGTGGTATCATTCGAACACGGCTGTCGTTCGAATAGCCAGTCTAGCTGGACTACTTTACAGAGCGGTACATATGCAGTAGCTCTGCCCCCGTAGCTTTCCCTTTATTGCCACAAAAAGTTGTCCCCGAGTATACCATAGCCTTGGTGTTTAAAATGCAGCACTCAGTTTTCCACATGTGTATGCTACAATGATGTAATATGTCAGGTGAAGTACGAGTTGAACTATTGAGGTTTGGTGGACGATAAACCATTGCCTCAAACTGGCACAGCATTCAGCAGAGCGCAGCAAGCATGCAAGGATGCCCCCGTGCTGATTGAAGAGAACCTAGCGGCAGCTCTTGTTTTTGTATAAAACTGCCGGGTGGATTTTTATGCCTAGAAAAGCATTGGAAGACTCTGTACTTTTCATTACTTCATGCCCATCGAACACCGTGCACACTTGAAACTAGATTTAACAAAGCGATGACAATGCTCAAATTATTTAATTAAATCTGGAAGTCTGTAAAATAGAGAAAAATGGTTTTTAGTCCTTTGAAATCTAAAATTGTGATTTAGTGACACAAGTAACCAGGACACTTTATTTGTCACTAACCCAGACCTGCAGCACGTGTGAAAAGTCAGCAAATGCGGCCTGGACAAGGAGCTTCCCATGTCACCTGGACTTGGGAGGCTCAGTATCATAGTTAACTGCAGTGCATCAAAACCTTAAATACTGCCCTCGATTGCTGACAATGGCTTCACTAACAAGAATTAAAACTGATGAATGATACACTAAATAGTATTTGTAGTAAAACAAAAGCAGACACCAACAAGAAAATTAAATCATAAAAAACAGAAAAAAGAAGCTCCAGCTTCCACACACGTCTTCAGCTCCCAACACACCCTTAATTTCATTAGAACCTTATCCAGGCAAGCTGTATGCTAGACATTATCAGCAGAAATTTGAGAATAGTAAAATTTCATCTCGAATTTGAATTGGTATACAAAATATGTTATTATTAATTAAAGAAAAGAACAAAGTGAAATCTGCTCACGTCCTCAAGCACATAACACAGTCAGTGATTGCTACAGAGATATTACAAAGTGTCATATGCCCAGGCACGTTATAATAGAAGAGCCACTATCAAGTCAGCAGTGGCACTCCTAATGGCTAATAGATGTAGCTAAGGCAGCTAGCTTGTAGTCAGTTTTTTTCCCCCTGGCTATGGTCGCACAGTATGGCTCATCCGACAATGGTAATATTGTACTCCATCAACATAAAAGTCTTCTGAAGCCCGTTTTGAGCGTTTTTTTTTTTTTTTTAACTGTGTGCTGCAATGATACGAGTTTCTGAATGACTGATGAGATGTGGCAGTGGTGACTGCACCGCTCGAACATGTGAAGTCAATCACCGAGGATTTCACGAGCTAAAGTTGGGACATTTTTCAGCACTTCCAGAATAAGTGACCGAACTGCGTAAAAAGTCTGTGCCTTTATTTTAGAAGCAAAGTTGTGAAGGGTTCGACTGTTTTCTCATGTGTTACGTTTTACAAACCGAAATGAGATAATATCCTTTAATATAAATGTACGCTCGCTTTTGAACTGAAATATCTCGGAAATGTTTAATGAAATATTTACTATATAGCATCATTATCATTTGTTTTAGCCACTACACCATAACCAAGTTGCTTCATTGGCTTTTGTAGCATTTTAGATATTCACCCTATCGAATTATTCTATTCATAAAATCTCGAATACTCACACACCTTTAATTATCAGTGGATGGATCCGCGAACATGAGCACAGGAGAAGCAGAGAACCTAAATGTGTTGTCTACATCTGTTTTCGTGCCCACGAAAACAGAGGTGAATTTCTGAGGTGAATTTCTTTTGAGGTGAATAGCTACAAATAACTGTATATTGCCACATATAAGTCGAATTTTTTTTTTAAATCGGAGGGCCCAGTTTAGGGTGGCAGGCTTATCCGCGGATGTTTACATGAGGGGGGGGGGGGGGGTAAAAATGAAACATAAGGCAACCAATGTTTACCAAGGTTATTACTATTACTGTGCGCCTATTTTATACTTATAATGTAGCAAAAGCAATTAAAATTAATATATTTTACCCAATTTCTAAGTACGGTAACAAGTGCTTTGACGGTATGATGGATCAACGCGGCGAATGCAGCCTCCGGAGATCCTCTTGCATGCACGATTCTCGGAGACCGGACGAAGAACTTCAGCTTTGGCGTGGACTTTGGCACGAGCTTTGGATCGGTATGCGACCTGCGTTGAGGTGAACCGTGGCCAACGTGGATTACCAGTTGGCGATAATCCCAGGTGGCTTACCCCTGTGCTACAGCTGCTCGACGTGGCACTCAAAAACCATTTAGGGACCGGATGACGGCACTTTACAAATTACAAAGACTGGATGCACCAGGACGACAAGCCCCAGTCGCCGACGGAGCGTGTGAGACGGGTTTTTTTGAACACAGTGGGTGTCGACGCTTGGTACAAGCTGCCGGACAGCATGGTGCGCGTAGTTTTTGTGAAGTGCACGATCACAACTGCCACATGAAGACTTAAAGTTGTAGTTTGCTGGCAATAAATTTTTTGTTTTGTCAATGCAGTCAATTTCTTAAAATAATTTACTTGCAGATTTTTTTCCTGATTTCGAGGTCAAAAGTGAAGGATCATCTTATATTCGGAGTCGACTTATACAAGGCAATATACGGCAGCTGAACTCTCTGTCATTCTAAATATGTCAGACAGACCAACAATGCAGAATCCTGCACATGACTCAAACTGTATTGGTTGGGTTCACTTACACAATGGCCACACGGTTCAATCTAAGATGTATCCTTACCTCAATTTCAGTTGTTTCTGTGAGACAGTTGCTATCGCCAGTACAGACTGACACAACTGCAGAGTTATTTTGCTGGTCATCTGGATCAGCAGTGCAATCGCCAGCTCCCGAGTCACCCTTCAGACGAGCCACATTACACATGACACACTGGGGAAGAAAAGGAAAAAAAAAGGTATGCAACATACATGTGAAGAACAGGTTTTAAGAGCTAACACAAGTGCAAACAGAATATACATAGAACTATAAAGATTACAATGTTGAAGTTACAATTTTTCATTTAAGATAATGATTTGAGGCGAGGAAAAACTGATTTCTGAAATCCATATAAATGAGCATTTGGGGGGGGGGGGGGGCGAGGTGGCAGGGAAGCGTGAGTGAAAGAAAAAGATTAAAAAAGAGGCTGTGTTTCAACATGAGTAACCGTACATTGCCAAACACAAGAATGGTGTAAGTCCCCCCCCTACGAAAAAACCAGTTGGTGCTCCATGGTACTGAGGACTGAACACAGTACCTCACATATTGGAGGTAAATGCTCTACCACCACTGTAGTGCAAGAACAGTACACTGCTGATTCATTTTTTAATGGGAATGGTTCTTTGAGCGGCACCTATGGCATAATACGTCATTCAGTGGTAAAACCGAAACCCGTGATAAATACGACAGACAAAAGCCAAGAATGCATAGGCGAGCTCCTCTTAGGCAGAACATTGCACGTGTGCCTTCACAAAATGCTCGTATTTTTTTCATTTACTGAACTTGTAGAAACATAATGTGCCAGGCTTACTCTACGAGTGCAGTCAGGAAAGAAAACAAGGCTCTTGCACACTGTGAACAAAAAAGGTGCTACGGTGAGGTTCATCAACTATCCAACATGGCACGGCAAAGGCATACCATGGAGATCATTAACAAATGCAGGTTTACTAACCCATAATGCGGCACAATACAATAGTCCCAGACTGCAGGCAAATTAAAGCTCACCACAGAACCAGCTAAATACGTGGGCCTAGAACAGCTTACAAAAGGAAGGAAGGGTCTACCAAGGGCCCGAATGAAAAGTTGCAAAACGCAAGCGTTCCTTAACCAACTTGTTACAGGCTAGCGAGCCCTTCACCATGGCAAAAGAGTGCCACCAAGAAGCAAGCTCAGGTGGAAAGGCTGTCTAAGGGCCATTACGAGCTCAATCAAGGTGCATCCCAATAACATGTGCAACAACGGTAATCTAACACCAACAGAGAGAAGCCCACTATGCGCAAAAAAGAAAGTCTGCCCACATGCATTCACCACAGCAGTCATCAGCAATTAAGTCGGCTTGAGCCAGCAATGTGGGAAGTGAAAGATGAGGGGTGAAGCAGGACATTTCAATCCCGCACCACCTTTCAAGGATCACTCATGACACGTAGAAAAATCATATACTTCTCAGAAAATCATATACTGCTCTGAGAAGACAGACATTATTTCCACGAGAAATCAATATGAATATTTTATTAAGGAAGTATCACTATTGAGTTATTCAGTTAGATTACGGCACATATGTCAATTCTGTAACCACAGTCGATGACTATGCTCATGGGAGGTTCTGAAGCTAACACCAACTGTCCCTTCAGGGGCCTGCGAGGTATTACTAAATAAAGTGATACTATAGCCACACTGCTTGAACAACATCAAACACAACACCCACTTTATTGTTAAAACAAGATTAGATATCACAGTCAATTGAGAGAGTTGGTGTGGGCTCATAGTTATGAACGGTGTAAGAAACACTGGACACAAATGTGTCTGTGTCTGAAAGTTCTTCATTTGTGTCCCGTGTTTTTTGCACCGTTCATAACTATGAATATTAGATATATTTATTTACGAATGCTCTCACACTCAGTTTTATCACACACAAATTAAATATGAACGTATCGGTCTTACAGAATCATACGACTTTTTGCAAGGCCCCATGGGTAGATATTTGGACACTTTGAATATTCAAACAAACATTACGGTACTTTAGTTCACTTCAATATGAATTTAGATCTTTTAAATTTCAAAGTATTCAAAATTGACAATATATACATATTAGAGCAAGTATATACACATATAACCTGTAAGGGAGCTTTCACAGCAGCTTGAGGGCCATATGCTGTGAAACCACCCATACAGGGGAAATCCAGACTGCCACAAAGCCGCACTTAAGGTTAAGGAGAGATGCGGGTCGAAAAATGAGTTTTCTTAAAAATTAGTCATTTTTTGTTTTCACCTGTTTTGATAAGATTAGCACATCTACTATTCTGAAAAACAAAAAAAGATCTATGTCGAGACTCAAGTGGAAATGCTTTAAAATTGTATTCAAAAAGCACAAGGCTGTTCAAAGGCCGAAAGTGCGCAGTCTTCGAGCACCTTTCCGCCGATAATACGGCGCGGCGCGCCATTGTCGATCGCACGGGGCGAAAAGTCAAGCCTCACTCTCCATATAACAACGGTTTCCCCTGCTGCTGTGGCACAAGAAATGATAAAAAGAAGCACGCTTCTGGACAAGTTTTCCGAGCGCCGCGACTGGCTTTTAAATTACGTGATACCAATCGGGGAACGACACTGGCCACTGCGCGCCTGTACTGTGCTGTGAAACTTACTTGCGGGGTCCATGTCTTGTCAAGCAGCGCAGCTGAACAATGCTTTTCTCGTGCATTTATGTCTGTCATGGATGAAGAAATCCGTAGCTACACTGTCAACTTGAAAGCTATTGTGACGGCGCGCTCTGTAGGAATCGGCCATGAACAGCTGGTCCGATTTGCGGCAGTTGTTGGCTTGTTAAAGCCAATACATCAAAAGTCATTCGCAGCCATCAGCCGAAAAGCTCATGATGCGGAAATGGGTGCCATCTGCGCCAATCTTGCGAAGTCGAAAGAGCTCACAGTGAGGAAAGTTAGTGGGGACAACATTGCCCTTGGTACGACTGTACGTGTCATAAACGCGGCCACAAAATGGCATCGGCACTGTTGTGTCCCTCGATACTGGACCTTGTTCAGATTTCGAAGTTCTGTCGCACTTCTCCCTAGCTTGCAGTTGGCACAAGGCTCCTCCAGATGGAGCAGAAGATTGGCAAGCGTTTCCTGCCTCTGTCTGTCAGCTCGAAAGAGCCGTGGGGGACAAACTTATGATGCTGGCGCATTTTAGTGGCAGCGGTCACTACAAGAAGGATTGTTCTTTTTTTGTGTGCAAATTTCACAACATTTAATGACATTTTTCATGAATAAAAATTCAATTTTAACTTTAAAAGTCGTTTTTCTCAAAACACAGATTCTGCCATAATTTTCAATCTGCCCCTTCTTTTTCAGGTACTTTTGGTGCTCAAATCTGCATGAAATTTTACCTTCATTTTTCTAAAGTATGAGAAATGCAATTATCTTGTTTATATTTCAATATATTTATTACATGATAAAATTTCTATGTAAATCTTTACTAGGATAGGAGAAATATGGACTTCATTTATTATTTTTCACTACATATTTTGTACACACTTCTTAATTAATTTTTTGCATTCCACATTTTATTTAAAACATTATGAACAATCAATGGTAAGAACTTATGGAAGTTATAATAGTATGAAGAGGGGGGCAAAAGGCTTATGGTTTTCACTTTGTCATGTTACAGAACTAAAAGTATGCAACTCGCAAGAAAATAATTGTATCTTTAAAATCAGCACAAAAGGTCCTATAAACAGCTGAAGTTACATTGCTCTAGAGTGAAAAAACAAAAAGTGTTTTCGAGTAGCATATCCCCTTAAATCATATTACTTACACCTTTATTTTTTAAGTATAGTATAATTTAAGCGTGTCATACAGGTTTATATACATTTTTTTTTTAAATATAACGCATTGTACCAGTTATAACTGTCACTGTACCACTATACAAGCCTTACTACTATTCAAAGTTGCATCCACTTAGAAGCAATGACATTCACAAATGCCTAGTTCCATTTCTTAAAAATATTGTGCAAATTACGTAACGGTAGAAATGCTAAATTTTCTTATGTGATATAGATTATTCTAACTATTTAATTCGAAATTATCCTACCAAAGCACTATTCGCTACAAACTTCAAACTTGGTGTTCGTCCATCTCTACTCTTGGCATTTATTGGCATTAGATGCACCAGCAAAAATATCAGAAAAAAAAAAAAAAAGAAGTGTCTTATACACCGGAAGATACAGTACTTTCACACACGTGCAGAAGCTTTACTCACATAACTTTAGCTAAGCGGCCACTGAAAGTTGTCAGGTATAGTGGTATCATAAGCCAGTGCCGCATGAGCATTGAAATAGACGCGAAATGATAAAAGAGCGTAATCAAACACTACAACATGGTAGAAAATTACGGTTTCATTGTCGTGTCTTGAACGGTGAGAGCATGAAGACATGCGCTAAGGAGGCATTTCTTGCACATGTCGGATCACACATGCCTATGTAGAAGAGTCTGAGCACTGATAACTACGAAGGGCCATTCTTTGTTGTACGTCATCTTCTCTACCTTAGAGCGCATGCCAGCTAGAAGGGCAAGCAGCTTTCAGTTTGAAATTCCACCTCCTTCTGTGATGCGTAGCATTGCGAATCTTGGCAGACGTGATAATGAGTACCCAGTATATGCATTGTGCTTGACAGCTCAAAATGACCAAACATGACGAGGGGCTCCCTTTAAGGAACTGTCAAGAGCAAAAAAGAGGTATGTCATCCATATTATGTGACCTGTCTAACCTGTGTTCGTCACCCACCCCGGGGAAATAGTGATTAGGTGCTATACCACTAAGCCCCAGGATCGAAACCCAGCCGCAGTGGGCGAATTTTTCGTGAAGGCGAGAATGCCTGAGGTCCCATTCTGAAACAAGCCTAGGCTTGAAGTTCATACAGTCAAATCTCGATGATATGATAACGGTTGATACGGATTTCGCTATACGAATCTTGAGGTTGTTTTGAATGGACCACGTTATATAAAATGCACCGCGATTCGGAATTATACGAACGGTTCACCCAGCCACCACAGGTAATATGAACGTGCAATCGCCTCGAAGAAAGCAAATGCAGCAAAACTCACTGGAACTTCCCGCATTTTGCCGCCAAGTCGTACTTTTCCACAACGACAAAATCAGACAAATTTTTTCCCTAAGTG